CACAAAACACTTAGTTGTAACTTGTTAGAATTAATTTACATAAGAATTAGCTATTAAATTGTTAAAGTTATTAAAAACACTTAATTTTTCTTTTCTTTTTAATAAATAAACTAAAAAGACAAATTTTAAAAATTAAATGACACATGGCACTCTCTTATAACTTGAACTTTGAGAAACCTTACTATATTATATAAGACTAGGCCAATATCCGCGCATACGCACTATTTTTTGTCAATTAAATTTCTAAAAATTGTAGTGTGTAAATTTGTGGTGTTAGATCCGGAAGAAAAAATTGTGGTTGAAGGTTTTTGTGTAATATTCTCCGATAGTTGTAGAAAAAATTCAGCACAAATATTATGTATGCGAAAGATCATGAAACTGGAAGACAAGAATTGTAAACTAGAATGCAGGATCCAACTCTTGTGAACCATTAAAGCACCTTGAATGGAACAAAAAAATGAATATAGAACATGGTACCTTCTTTGAAGTGTTTCTGCTTTTGATGTTGGAATAACATGTGCCTCCATTCCTTTGATTGGATGATTTGGATCATAATTTCATGTCGTAAAAAATGTAATGTCTATTACGTATCTTATTCCATGATTTGTAATTGGTGTCTCCGTTATATTTGTGGCCAAAAACACATAAAATTTACAGACAGTCAAACAGCAGTATTATCATCTCAAGCATTTAAAATATTTGACAACCAAATTTTCAAACATAAGCAAATGGTAGGTAACCAACCTACTTTAACCTTACGAAAACCAGCCAGCTCTGGGTAGTCTCTAAACCATTGTTTCTTTCTCATCCCCGTGATAAAGGGAAGTGCAAAACCAATGTTTGAATATTTGACCCATACTTTGCTAATTCCTGCTTCCACTTGCTATCTCAAGACCAACTCTATTATTTTGGATCATGACCTTGTAGTAGCAAGAATACAGTGAAGCTTTTGTGTCTTGAAATGTTCGAATTGATTCCATTGGAATGAGAACAAGCAACCCAACTTCGATGACCATTTACAAGCAAAGACTATACAAACTGTGATGTTCATACATGATAGTTGGTGTTTGTCTACATTCTGAATTTATATATTTGTCAAAAATGGGATCTCCTTGAAATGGCGTTTCATATATATGATTTCTGAATTTAAATCCACATTTTGAGATATATGGTATTTATTCGTTCCTTTCCTTATTAGTCGGTAACGTCCACGACTTTTGTAATTTCTACACCATTTGTATACTGTATATTCAATGCATCACCCACCATCCACTAGGTAGGTCTTTAAACTTTAAATTTTAATGTTAATTAATGAATTAAATTTTATACTGTTGAGTGTTGACTCTAGACATGAGACAAGATGGGCCTATAACACAAATGGGCTTCGTTCTAAAAACCTAAAGAAAGGAAGCTGGGCCAAAATCAGAGAGAAGCCCAATGACAGATGGTTTACAAATCTGTTATAAAAAGAAGAAGATTCTTCTTCTTGAGTTTGACGACACAAAACAACAGACTCACGCAAACAGAGCTGTTACAGAAGAGAAAGAGATCTAAACAACCTAGAGAGAGAAAGCTTGAGATTGAAGCAGAGAGAGTTTCCAAGTGTTTTTTGCTCTTCTTCTTCATCGAAACTTCTCTAATTGTGTTCTTCTTAGAGTTGTCTTCTTCTTCAAGTTTCCTTGTAACCCTAGAAAATCTTGTAACTCTTTCTCGATCTAGTGGAGTTTCGAAGGGACCGACCTTCGACGAGACGTACCAGCGTGTTGTTGGGAACTCGTATACTTGTGTGTGTTCTTTAATCTTTCTGCCACAAACAACAACAAGTATAATGTTGGTTTCAAATCGGATTTGAATCTAAATCAAGATCGAAGGTAAAACAGAGTTAAAGTCGAGAAACAAACCTGGAATCACAACAAATGGTATCAGAGCACCAGGCGGTGCAGAAGGGTTGAGGAGGATCGCCAGAAGCTGTGGAGATTATCAGTCTTGATAATCTGAGGCCAAGCATCTGCGTGGAAGAAGGAAATATCTGGATCGGGTCGTAACAAGGATCTGATTGCATTCAAAGGATTAGACATAGCCTAAAGAAACTTACCGGTTCAGAGAAGAATCTGGTGAGATCTATTTCATATCTGAATCTTTACTTGAGTTTTTTGTGTGTTTCTTTACTTGGTACTGCGTCAAGTGTTTGCTTCT